AGCTTTATTGTTACGGGATAACTTGCATGCATGAAATGTGTATTCTCTAGAGGGTGTTGGTCAGAAATTACATGACTGAAATATCTATAATTGTCAGAATTCAACAAACGTAATTTCATTTTCAAACTTGAACCTAGTTAAGAGTATATGGTCTTCACACCTGGATAAAACAAAAATGGAAGTGTTTTTTCGTGACTAGTCACAGTGTTTTTATAGAGAGATCTCTGGGCAGTGTCACCATCTATAAAAAGGTCCTATGGTGCCAAAATCCCTCTGCGTTCCTAGGCGTATGTGACCGGGGATGGGACGCAGTTTAGTCCCTGGGCCTGACAGGGATGGGCGGATATATTTCTGTGATTTCAAAGTTGATGTTTAACTTCAAAAACATTGTGGTAAAGCTGTGTCACACCTGCAACTGACTGAGACTCCATTCTGGAAGAAGAAACCATTAAGTAGGGTTTCTGACCAAGAGCCTTAGGTTTGGCTCACATTTAGAAAAGAATAAAGTGACAAGGCAGAAATGAGCTTGTAAGAAGAGGATGTCAGATCTCCGATGGCAACACGAATCCTAAAGAGTGAACCTGCATTTGGCAGAGCCATGGTGCTGCCAGCTGCCCCGCGTTACAGTGTGTGTTTTGTTCCTTCGTAAAACACCAGTTAAGTTGATTTTGTCAGGTTCACTGGAAGGACATGGCTCTCGTTGATACGTTCAAGCAACAGGATTATTTTCCCTGCTGCTACACTGGAACTGCATGCAAATCACACAGATTTCAGTTTAAAGAAAAGCACAGCAATGAATTCAAGAAGTGCGAAGGACTCTTAGTAGGACACCCTGCGGCAGACTACTGGTTGTACTTATCGTTCATTAAGGCGAACTGAAAACACAGGTAGCAGTATAGCGTAAAAATCATGTGGTTCTTCACGAGCACAGCATTAGCAGATAAGTGTTCATGAGCTCTGTGATTTTGTTAATTAGCCACTCAGAGGTCTGAGCTGTAGCATCTACGTAATACCTTCCTTTCCACAGAGCAGTTTTTGTACTGTTCATTGGTTTGGGGTTTTCGTTAGATTTCGTTTCCTGCTGTGTTTTCTGGGTTCTTCTGCACATGCTCCATGGCAGTTCCAAGCTGGTGATTTCAGTGAAAGAAGCAGCCTGGGCTTGGTACCCGTTGGCCTGCCCTGTGCTGCGGAGCAGCGGAATGATGCTCATGAATACTTGTGCAAACACTTTAAGGTAACAAATGAAGTCTTCCAGAAGCATGTGGATTCCCCCCTTTTCTCAACAAGGAAAAAAACCTCCACCAACATTCTGGAAAAGAGGAAGGAGGAAACTATATTTTATCTTGAACGGCTTTTTCTTAATTTTGGGTCTGGCAGGGTATTCCAAATCCACCATATTGACCTGTGGGAAATCGTACTGCATGCGTGTCATATATTCTGTTTTCTCTCCAACTAATAATTATAGATTCTTACGTTATTATTTAAGTTATAATAGAAGCCCTGTTCCTCTAATTTATGTTTTTAATATTCAGATATATTAGGTGTATATTAGATCTCTCTGTAAGGGTTCATGCAGTCTAGTCCATTTCCATCTCTCATTCATATAAACTCACGAAATTTCTGAATGAAATTTCTGTTGTTGGCCTTTTCTGAATTTTTTCCCCTCAGTTTTTAATTGTCATGGTAGAATTTATAATTTTCTGAATTTAAGAAAACCTTTGAAAAATGAGCAATATTTTTGTAAAACGGCCCTTTCGCCCAACAATACATTTCAGAGAAAACCTGCATTCAGTTCTGTTAGTGTCAGCTGTTTAAAGTGGATCCATTGTCACGTGCTAGATCATCTGTCAGGGTATCTCTTGACCAAGTAACTCTCATGTAAATCAGAAGGAAACCCATGGAACCGGTAAGTTTTCACTGGTACTGTCACGCTGTAATGATGCGACTGAGCGTGATGTTTACCCGAGAATATGAAACGGGATGAGACGGCCCTGTTACGACAGCAAGTAAGATGAAAGAGCAGCTTGGGAAGAGGTGGGGGGAGGACTCAGATCACATTTACTGTGATTTCAGTCGGAAAGGTCCGGCTTTGTTATTGCTGGAGAGAACAATACCGCACACACCTGGAAACCAGTTCACGGTAGGGAAGGGACTGCCTGATGGCACCTGCCTAGTCCCCATGTATAAAGGGAAAAGTGTGTCATTAAAGCGAGAGCTGGAATAAGGGAAATGCTCTTCAAACCCCAAAATAACAACGACTTCATCAGCCCTGGATTCATGGGCCTGTCACAGGGGCAGACACAAAGAAGCACTAGGATTCTGTGCGGCGTGGGTTTTCTCTCTCTGGCAGCGGAAATGCAGCGTTACGCGCCTCTTTCCCCTGCCTGCAGCCACCTCTTCTCTCTCTGCGCTGGGGTGCGGTACACCGCACGAAATCTTCATGTCACACTCCTGAGCAGATGAACTCTCTTGCCTTAAATGATGTTAGCGCGTTTTTCTGCAGGAGAAAGGGGAGTTTCTTTCTCTGTTTATTTGAGTTAATGTCTGTTCCTGCGGCCCACAGACGATTCCACAGCTTTGGAATCATGGGAAAATACGTGGTCCTCCTAATTACAGGAGTGCCATTTGTATTGCTGTGGTTAGAGGTCTGCCAGCTTTTCCATTACAAACCCCACTTCAGTGGTTTAATTCAATCATAAAAATGTGGTGCTGCCCTTACGAATCTTGAGTCAGACAATGATTTGTTCTCCTTCCTCCCCCAAAAAATTAAATGAAAAGAAGTGGCTGGGTTTAAAATATGAAAGCAATAAATAAGCAACTAGATGTTGAGTGTACAGGACTTGGCAATCCTACAGTTTAGCAAGAACGTTAAATTGCAGTACAAGTGATCTTTACTGAATAATGCTTTTGCAAGTGCTTTTGGTTATTTTGAAACTAATGCATTTTTTTCATGCTTACATGCCTTAACTTAAATGGGTTAGATTGAAACAGATCTGTAAAAAGCAATTCATTGTATTTTGGATTTAAAGACCAACTCCTGACATGGTTCCTAAGGAAGAGTTAAAGACTTTCAAAGTGTTCACAGTTATGGGATCCTACCATGTTAGTCTGAGTACCCAGAATTTCTGCACAAAGTACAAGTTGGCTTTACACAGCCACTGAAATGTGGCAGCCACAGTTACACATTAATAGAAAGCATATGAGATGCTTATCAGAACGGTCTAAGAGATCGTCTAAATAGAAGAGATGGTTTTCAGAATGGCGTGCTTGCCCAGAGTAGTAATCCATGATTTCAGATCTCGAGGATGCCCTGGCAGAAGATATGTATATGACATCTTCACTTAACTAATGGAATGATTTAACTAGCATTGCTGTAATTTTTTCATAACTGCAAGCCTTTAAATCAAACCTGGTTTTCTCCTGAAAAGACATAGCTTCGCGTTTGATGCTGAAATCAGTGAGCAACTCCATGGCCTGAGTTGTGTAGGTGACAGCTGTAGGACCTCAGAGTTTCATCAGGCTTGGAAGTGTCTGGTGTGTTAAAGGAGTAGGAGAAACAGTGATTCTGTCACTGAACAAGCACCTTGCCTTTGTTTGCTTGGATGTTCTTTTTATGTTTTAAAAAAGAAGTCGGAAGACATGACCGAAGCTGTACACATGTTAGGAAGGCCCGTTGTTCTTCCACAGATTTGCCTTTCAGTTAAAGTATTTTTAAAGCAGACGTCCCTAGAAGCATAGTGAAAATAAATGTTTAAAATACAGGAAATGCCTGTGTGAATTTTAATTAGCTCCAGAACCCTACAGATAGGTTTGGATGTTGCCAAAAGCCAAGTGACCTTCCCCTTCTTTATCTCCTGATCTTGACGTCAGTATTTACAGTCCCATGACATTTCCCAGGTAAATACCTGGTTGTGTTTGTGTCTTTCTGTGCAATGTTGTGCAAAGCACGGCGAGATGTGTGAACTCCATTTAACCTCTTGACAATCCTTTTTAAGTATTTGCAAAATAAATTTCCCATAAAATCTCTGACAGTTCTGAGTTTATTTTCTAAGGCATCAGCTTTGTCTTTGATTGTATTAACTCTGTTAAAATTTGGTACTAAATGAAGGTTTCAGACCCCATAACACTTGCTGGCCTGCTGCTGCCCAGGTTAACTACGTGTTGAGGGTGTTCACGTGTTTATTTCTCATTACCGTCCTGTTCTACTCGGTATTTGCGTTGATGCTTGGCTGGTAGGGGTTCAGTATAGATACGTTTTAGGGGGAAGAAAAAGAGAAAGAAGTGACAGCTGCACCCATGGCTGGGAGATCTAAAACTTCTTCATATGAATGATGGAAGAAACCTGGTTATTTACAGAAATTGCGGAGAGACAGAACCATTATCATTTGACTGAATAAAGCGTATTACTAGGCCTTTGCATATTTGATGTCCTAATGAATGACTGAATTAGTATGTGCATTCCATGCAAAAGCTGGAGCCCTCCCTAGAGAACTTGGATACTCTGTAACAGAAGCTAGGATCTGCCTTTAAAGAAAGGGTGTGTTTGTGGATTAGACATCATTGCTTTCATAACTGGTCACAAAATAATTTACAGCCTTGCTAAATAATGAAAATCAAGGGGAAAAGGAAAGAAGTGATTAATTGGACATCAATAATGATTATAACCTAGGAGAGTGTGAGTTTATGGGTCAGAAGACACAGTAACAAATCATAGAACAGGAAATAGCAGAAATTCAGTTTAAAAAGCGACGTCAAAAGACAGACATACAAAACGGTTGAGATACCCAGTTGGGAATAACACAGCACTGAGAAGACATACTCAGTAACTCACCAGAACGCATAGCCTCACCTAGATGAAAAACATCTTTGAATAACCTCATGGCAAGAACAGCTTTGGCTGCATTATGGTCTCATTGAAAGAATTTTCATAAGTGGTGTAGCTAAATCATTTAACTCATGGTCTCTCTCTCTCTAATACGTCTCTTTTGTTTCCCCCTTAGCTAACAATGCCAACATTTCCTGTTGTTGTGAAGATTGGACATGCGCATTCAGGCATGGGAAAGGTGCAGATGCTACTTATTGCATGTTAGGAGGACGGGTGTTTGCTAAAATAATGTGCATGTTCTTCTGTTTCTTGGATCTTTTAACTTTCCACTGCCCAAATTCTGTCTCGGGTCCCTACCCTTGCACACCTCTGGTTGTATATTATTCAAGAAAGCACCTCTCTTCAGGAAATAGTAAAACGTAGAATATATTTTCCCACTGATGCCTTTTCAGTTTATGTGTTGTCCTATATGGGACGTTCTTTGAAATGTTCTGAGATGCTTTCTTGAAGCAGAACTTTATTTCTTAATTTAGTTGACTTCAGTGAAACTATTTAAGAGTCAAGGTCTGTTTGCACAATCCAACTTTTGGACCTGGGAATACAGGAAGGTTTTGCCTTGGTTCTTTATTAGTTTCAGCTTGACATTGAACTTTCTTCATTTCCTGTCTTAATGTATTCTCTGTGATTGTTTCATACCACTATGTAACTGCTGCTTTCTTTCTCCAAAGTAATTGCATTTCAGTGGTGAGTACAGTTGTTTTGATATCACTTATCTCACGGTGATGGTTCAGTGGGATATGATTTAAAACCCTCTTTCATTGATGTCAGTGAAAATTCCTAGTCATTACAGATTAACCACTTTCTCTCACTGAAGATTTTAAAACAAATCATCAGAGAATAGTTACATTTATCATCTTGAATCTCCAAAAGCTCCATGAACATAATATTTGCCACTAGCAAGAGAAATTGCTTTAACTCTATTTTATTCAGTAATCATGCAGGTTGTACTGTATGTTATGTTCTTTTGCCTATGACTGTTTTCCTTCATTTTGGACATCGTAAGGTAGTGGAAATCTGTCAGTCAGTACCACTGAGAGCAGAATTAATCACTGATTACTTAGACTGCAGTTTCTGCAGATTGCATATGTGAAGTATTAGAATGCTTACTTTCAATATTCACCTCTCATTTATAGAAAAGGGAAATAATGCAGAGCAATGTACACCATATCAAATGTCTAGAAATAAGGTGAGGTTTTTTAGCTATAAAATATTTTAAATCCTTAAAGATTAAATGCCAGTTTTTTGTCCTGGAAGGCTCACTGTCAGAGACCAAATAAAGGTTCTCCTCGTACCCCAGTCCTGCCTAAAGGCATTGCTAGGAGTGGTGTTTCCATTGGTCCTAATTAGAATATCACATGCTATTAAGTTTTCAGAAACTTAAGTGGAAACGAGGCACTGTGTCTGGGTTTGTCTCAAATGGCAAATTACTCTGTATTGATCTCCATCTGAGAGTTCAGAGCCAACACCTAGGCCTTATGACTTCTTTTAGCTTCCCCACACCCCATTCAGTATGCGAGTCCCATCCCACCTCACAGTCGTGGGACTCGGGCCCACAGGTTCCCTTTGAAGTACCAGGTGACACTGGAAGCAAACAGGATGCTGGGCTTGCAGAGTTGCATGCTCATAATATTAGATAGCATGAGAAAATCTAATCTCTGCCTCCTTTCCTCACCATTCTGAAATGTACTTTGGGTCAGCGTGCTGGAGTTCCCGTTTCTCTCTCCCATTTTCTACTAGCCCTAGGACTTCTCTTCAGAGTCACTTTTGCTCCCCACTTCAGCCAGCTTCCTTTACATCTACCGTAGCGATGTGCCCTCCCTGTCCAAAAGTAATGCCTGTGCCCCCCCAAAGTCTCCTTCTCCCCTAAATCAGTATTTCCCGCTTTCCCACCTCCCTCTTATTTCAAGATGTTAAAGTTGATGGGTTTAGTACCACTCACCGTCTTAGCACAGTGTTCCACAACTAGGAAATCCTACTCCTAGAAAGCCTGATTCCTTGCAAATATATGGGAAAAAAGAGGAAAAACTGGTTCTGCTGCCTTGAGCCATCCCTCTGTGCTCCATGAGAAGCAAACTCACCAGGATATCATGACACTTCATCTCCTCCCTCATGGAGATACAAGCTGTGATAGTACCTGGTGGGTTCCAGATATATTTGGTTACATGAGCAATTTACAGAATCAACAAGAATTCTTTATGAATTAGTGTTGCATATTATCACACCTTGAGAAGTTCTAAAGCCTGAAGATCTAAAACTAACAACCACCACTGAAAAAAAAAAATTGAAAAGCAAAATAAAAGTCTTCTGTCTGCAAATTGCTCTCTAAAGATGACCAGGTAGTACGTGCCTAGAAAAACAGGTACTTTAATGCAGGAATGTTATAGAATCTAGAAATCAGATCAAATATCCAAGACTTCTTTTTATAAACTGATGCTGTCAAAACCATTCTTCTCATGAATGCCATTTGCAACTGAATTCTACATTTTCTTCCTAATTGCTCTTTTTTCTTTTGTATATGCTGTTTACTTGTGGTATGCTGACTGCAGATCAAGGTAGACAACCACTACGATTTTCAGGACATAGCCAGCGTGGTAGCACTTACTCAGACCTACGCCACTACCGAGCCCTTCATAGACTCCAAATATGACATCAGGATCCAAAAGATAGGCAGTAACTACAAAGCATACATGTGAGCCAAAACTTTATCTTCTTTCATCCTTTTGTTTCAAAATTGATAAGCACCAGTAAGATTAAGACTGTTGGATGAGTCTCTGAGCTGGTGTGGTGACTGCATGACTCCATTGCCATACTCTCTGGAAAGACAGTATTTTAGACTTTCTACATTTATCAAGACTTTATTTAAATTGATTGTGGCTGGGGGGAGAATAAGACAACAGGTGAGCCTGCCAGCATGGTTTTCCTGCAAACCTTTGCTAATTTTTTCATTTAAAGAAAGGAGCAGTTGGAAGGGGATTTATGTTTACGGAAGACGTTAAATCAGCATCTGTTGTATCTTTTCACCAAATTAGGGTCAAATTTTCTTCTCCCTCTAAGGATATTTAGATGGCATTCATTCTTGCAAACCTGAATCGTGACATTAATGGAACAGAATACTCTCCTTTTAACATAACACGTTAGAAAAATTCTAATCTTGCAATGGATGAAAATCTCATTTTAGTACCCAGGTGTTTGTTTAAAGATCATGACTGTAAAAGAGGCTAAAATGGTGTTTCAGTTTCAGAGGCAACATGAAACTTGAGCACTGAAACAGGTTATCATGTAGCAGTTGAGCCATGGTAACTGTCTTTTTGCATTACTCTGTTTCAGTTAACGAGCAATGTATCTGACATGCACCCACTTCATGGCAAGTTAAAACATCTCATGTACTTGTTCCATCATGCTTACAATTCTGAGGCAGGAAAAAATGTAACAAAACACGGATAAAAATGCACACGTGCATTTACATACACACACCCATTTGCGCGTGCAAAGGTGTCTCACTAGGGACTCCGGTAGCGGAGGAGGATCAGAGGTTTCTTGTATGTTGACGTTTTTAAGGTACAGTCAAGGTCTGTGCCAGTAAAAATAACTAAACACTAAGCAAACCATAAATACTAAGAGAAGTAAAAGTCGGAGCTGGGTTAAAGAAAATGCGTAAAATGTTTTACAGTATTAAAGAGAGTTAGCATTCAGTGTCAAGTAATTTAGGCCAACAAGCTGTGTCACAGAGTAGAACCTTTTGCCCAGGATTGGACGAAGGGGCAAAATACATCTCTTTAGCATGATTTTGGAAGGCCACATACTCCCGACTTCTCCCCTCAGACATTACTGTCACAAGATCAAAACTGCGTGAGTAACTGTGGGCCTCTCCTGACATGTGACTTGAAGGGGCATTTAAGAAAGAACACCAAAGGTTAAACCTTTCAAGAACAACTCAGTAGTCCATCTGCCTCTCACTGTACATCTGAGGGGCCTTAAGAAAGCACAGCACAGAAGTGGGTGGAAATACTGTTCCCATAGGCCAGATCCATCCAGCAGCATGGACACTCAATCCTTCTGCTTTATTTCGAACCCAGCAGTATCTAAATTTTCCAAAACCAATGTGCTGGAAATTTGAGTTGTACCCAGTGACAAAGACAGAACACTCAAACAGCTTGTGAGGATTGAGAGGTGTCTGGAATCCTGTGTTGGTGATTTTTCAGTGTTCTTCATAATGCAGGACAGAGTAATTCAAGCTCCCTATGGAATTTCAGGTGTGTTGGGCCTAGCCCACCCCTCCCTGTAGGCAGTGAATCATAAACAAATGCACCTGAATGGTACAGCTTTTAGCCCCTGGCTTCCCCAGGAACGTTAATTCCAATTCTGCTTGTCTGTGTACGTCCAGGCTCTGGACTTTTCCTGTCTTCAGCCCCATATCTGGAGACATCCATCCTACCTCTTCTAATAGCACTGTACTCCTACACTCCAAAGTCACCTCTCTCCTATCTGTCCAAACCATATCATGGTCATGTCCCACCACTTTCCTAGGCCACTGCCACCTTTCTGTCTCTTAGTCCTTACCCCTTATGACTAACACTTTTTATTGCCCCAGCTTCTTGTCCCTTTTATTCTACTCGATGCCATTCAACAGTCTTGTTCTCCCTCTGCTTCCAGTCACCGTTCAGCCTTCTTTCTCTGTCTCAGACCTTTTCATACAACTACCTCTGCCTCTTCAAGGCCTGGATAGTACTTTTCTCTTGTTGGTGCTTTGACAGGCAGATTTCTTGTGTTGTGCTACCCATCCCCCCGCCTCCTCTGTTGTTTGTAATAAATGGAGTCTTACAGCTCCCAAGTGGCAGAGTCTTAGGAATAAGGCCCAACTCTTAATGGTTATGAGACACCACCAGATACCAGCAGTCAGATGCAATATTAGCAACCGGATGGTTTATTCCCTATTGTAGAAATAGGACCAGTACATTTGATAGGAGGGGGCCCTACATTTTTTTCCTTTGACTTGAAATCTAAACAATGTTCAGTGTCAAAATTATTCTGGAATAATTTTGGAAGAGTCAGCCATGGTGTATATATCATTTTCAAACATAAATGTTTCTTCTTCACAGAAGAAGCAGTTGGCCTAAGGGACAGCAAAAATAAGTTAAAATGACAGCCTGTTCCTCCTACCTTTTATTTATTTTTAAGTTTCTGCTCAGAAACTATGGGTTCATCCAAATGCTAAAAGCCCAGCAATTTTTTCTCTAGATTCTTTCCTACAGCTAAATCGCACAAAGAAATGAAATACCGATCCATTGTTACAAAGCATCATGAAAAGGAAAAGATTTACCAAATGTCTGAAAAATTCTTCATATGCATACACATACATTATGTCAGTAGAATATTGTTTTACAGCTGGTTCTCATTTTGTTCTGTGACACAGGAACAGAGCACTTAGAGAGCCACCACAAAAAATACCAGCTGAACATTTGTTTTTGTAGTTTAAAGAGAGTTATTAAGAGCTTCAGTTTTATAATTCTGTGGGAAATTGTGATATAAGTGGACCCATGACTCACAAAACACTGGTGCTTATCATCTGTCAGTAGAGATTATAGCCAAAATGCAACATTGGATCCCTCTAAATACCACAGCTCCTCAAAACGCTTTGTGACGCATACTTAACTACGCTTGGACCATTACAGGATTCATCTGACTTCAAGGAAATGGAGTTAAAAGGGTCACACACAATGAAGAAAAACAGAAATACAAAAACAGTGCATGTAAATCTCCTCTCCAAAAGCAATACTCAGAATCCATAACAATGTCCTTTGATCAAAAGTTCAGTAAAACAGAAGTGGAGCACATCAACCGAAGAAAGACAGAGCTACAGAATGAAACCGCTAAGCAGGTTACCTACACAAGAATTGTAGGTCGACGTTTCTACATATTTTCCTCATGCCAAGTCCCTGTCTGGATAATTTGGATTGTGTACTTCAAATGGTTCTAAATAAAGCAGAAAGGTGTTTGAAAAGGGGAAGCTCAAGTTACTATGAAATGTTTATATTAATCATAGTTCTTCTTCCCCCAATTTTAAAACAGTTCTTCCTTCTTTGCAAAGACCAGATCAAGTAAAAACATGTTAAGTCTAAGTGTAGAGCACTAAAAAGTGTTAGGAGGTTTTTTCCATATTATTCAATATTTAGTAAAAGAGAGGAAATAACGATGCGAAAGACCCTCAGCAATTATCAGAAGTGAAGAATGCTGGGAAACTACATATTTCGATAGAGGAAATCATGTATGAATTACAGAAATCATACCAGGGGTTGAAATGCCAGCTGGTCTGGCTGGCTACTTTCGTACCACATAGCCATGGACCAGCCCTGTCATTTCGGAGTTCTTGGTGTGATAGACCAAGCACGGACGGCTCAGCTCCAAGGCTGTTGAGATGACACCAGTTGGGTTGGTGTCCATAGCATTCCCCTGTCTGGTCCCTGCAGCATCCTTACAACCAGCCAAGCATCCGGTTGTGAGGCCCAATGGGGACCTTCCACGTTGTGCAGTGAAAGCATGGCTAAAAGCAAACCATCTTTTCTTCCGCAGTCAGCAGTACCAAGATCGCACCCGTGTGGCTGAGGATCTTCAACTAAATACCTGCTAAAAGTCTTCAGGACAATTATTTTTATCTGATTTGGTCACACCTTGCTTCCTAAAAGACAGCTTGAGTAGTACATGCTGATGGATGCCTTTGAGAAGTCTGCAAGAGAGTTTAATTGTGATTTGTGAGAAGTTCTCTCTCTGATGCAGAATGCGTGTGTAGAGTAGTAATGAACTTAAAACTTCTAATTTTTAAGTCCACACCTGTGTAAAATATCACTTGAAACATGAGCAGAAATCACAAAATAGCCTTATTGCTAGGCAGAGTCACCTTATGCAGAGTGCTCAGCAGGCACCTTCCCCTTTCCCTAGTTTTGCCCACATCAACAAAGAATACAGGGAAGAACTTTATGCTCTATAATTCATCTAACTTTATGAGGCTCCCATAGAAAAGTCAACATACACCCCAGTTGCTACTGACCCTCATAATTAGGTTAATAGAAAAATGGAGAGAAGACTGTAGCTGCTGCCTAATATACTCTTAATACATTACAGATGTTCCTATTATTTTACTAACTGGAAACACTTCATAACTTGTATCCTTAGCCTATTCCCAATATAGCATTTAGGCTTCAGAAAACAGTCATCTTCTCAGCCGTGGTAGCAGTCCTAAGATCTGAAGAGAAAAAAGCTTTATATGATTTTTTTTTTCCGAAGAGATTAAATAAAAGATGGTCTACATCTTTTGATGTATACATAAAGATGACATAAACTGTTTAGATTATATTAGTAAACTAGCAATGAGTGGAAACTGGAGGAGAAACAAGAATCCAGCTCTAGAACAGATCTGAGATCACTTGAGAGATGCTGAAAAGACAGATAGTTTGTTTTCAAGTATTGGGGCCTAACCCCGCAGGGGTATGGATTTGACGTGAGAAGCTGATGCTTCAGTTTCTTGACATTTGCAGTAACAGTGTGTTACAGGCTATTCCATCCGTTTATAACTGGTAACAGCTTCTTGCTAACACTTTCACTTAATCATAGTAGTTGTTTTTTAAAGCCTTAAATGACTGATTGGGGAACACAAATTTCACAGCACTGTCACACTTCGCAGCATGCCTACGCTGAAGTGAGTATTACTGACAATTGCGATGCCTGTTAGAATTCTTCGTGTTTTAGATGTTCTAAGCTGCCAGATATGAAAAAGCTGTAAACACTGCTATAGTATTTGTGTAAAAATCGGAGTAGTTTAAGAGAGAGTGAAAATACAGAACCACTGGCTGTCTTTGTAATATTTTCCCCCTTTCAGGAGAACTTCCATATCTGGAAACTGGAAGACAAACACGGGCTCTGCAATGTTGGAACAAATTGCTATGTCAGATAAGTAAGTCAAGTCTCATGTAAGAGGTAATTAAAAACATGTACTGGAATTTTGTTTCAAATTATTTTTTTAAGAATCACTTTACTGGTAGGTAGTTCACTGTAAATGTGTATCTCCCATTCAGTTTGGAAAAAAACTTTGAATTAGATGAAGGAACATGAGCTGAGAGTTTCCATATGACTTGTCTCAGAGTGAACTACCCCAACTAAGGACCAGCCATGCTTATGTGCACCCTTGGGTTCCTACATCCCTATCTGAACCTAGAAAACTACTGGGATTCCCTTCAGAAAACTCTGTGTTTGAAATTCAACCTGTCAGTCATTTCCTCTGGTTCATTTGCCCTCTTTTAACAGTCTTGTCCCGTGCCACAGTGTTTTAAATTTCTCCTTCTACATCACCTATTATAACCAAGCAGTCTAGTTTTAATTAGTTCAGTCATATTTCTCTTTTTGATTTTCAATCCTGCTAAATGACTTATTTTTTATGTTTGAAATTTCTACTAAACTGCCCTGTGAAGCTTTTCACCCAGATGCTGGGATATACTGACACTTATTTCCCCCGTGTCATCATTCCAGTTTCTGGTTTGGTTTACTTTGCTTTACTTTTTCTCTCCCATCCTTTTGCTGGATACTTTTTCGAGCCCAGTCAAACACATTCTGCTGGCAGTACCATGGTGTAGCTCAGGTCTTCTGTTGACAGAACTCTCCTCTCAATACCACTCACTTGCTCCAAGCTCCTCCACAACATACAGGCCTCTTTTCCCTGCTCAGTAAACCCGTAAGGCTTTTTGATGCCTATGAATTTTCTTTTGTTCAGCTTCTCCAAAGGTTGCTACCAGTGGAAGCTGAAAAAACTCTCTACAATAAAAGTGTAATTTGAAAGGTGTTTTAAAGTTCAACAGTAGTCTTTTTCTGGTGTGGGTCGTCTTTTTTTTTTTTTTTTTTAACGTCTGGAACCTACAACTTGGTCCCTCGTACGAGCTGAGGGAGGTGCAGGAACTGAACCATTGCTGGCCCTGAGAAAGGTGAAAACAAATAAGTCGGGAATTGCAGGTCCCTGCTGCCCAACCCCTGTCTAGACTGTGTCCTCACTGATCTCCCCTCTGGGGATGGAGTGGAGCCACATTATTTTCTCTTTCTCATTCCCCTCCCACCTTCCTTTAGAAAGTGAGGTTAAGCCTTCGCTGAGAGGGAAAAGAAAGAGCGTGCTTGGTGTGTGTAATTACAGCCCATGAGCATTCTTCTCTAAACACACAGGCACTGCACTTCGCCGTGAGGAAAACCAAACAGTATCGAGAATGGGTAATGAGTATGAAATGCTAACCTGGCCTAGCTACCTCGCTGTGAATGCTCTGTGTGCTTCGCTGCTGCTTCCATTTCTGAGTGTAAGAGAACTGCAGCATAATAGGTATTTTCCCGTTAAAAAATCACTAGCCAACAAAACAAAAATCTTTTATGCTGATGAAGGTGAAGGCATAGAAAAGACGGATATTTTCTTATGACAGAAAGAGGCGTGTGTCACACAGCCCCACTTCCTGTTGGATAACCCACTGAAGAGCCAACGCAGAGCAAGGAAGAGAAGGGACAATTCAAGTTTTCTGAAGAGCTGAAGTAGTTTAACGGCACACAAAAAGCAATCAAATCTGATGCATGTGCATTTCATTTATAATATGTCCTGTGATTTAGGAAAAAGTGTTTTGAAAGTGCTGCCTGAGTTGACATTGACTGAATAAAAATCTTAATCTGGAAATTTAGAAAAGAGAGAAGAATGTGGCATGGGAGGGGACAGTGGCGAGGCGGAGAACAAGCACATTTCCATGTTACACAATCTTCTGGGGCCCTCTGTTTCAGGGCGGTACAGCCCCCGGGGCAGGACCAGAAGAACAGAGACCTGTGCTAACTCTGCACACCTCATCTGGCACACCAGATATTGTATTTTATTATCTGTGAGTTCTGGGGCAGCAGCACACTACATTGCCTCTGGGAAAATAAGAACCGTGACCTCTTGTCAAACCTACTGTGCAAGGCTTGGGTTTAAAACACTGCAGGCTAGTCCATCCAAGACCTCTCTTTCCCAATGTAACTGTGTTTTTCCAGCTCTGTGTTTGTTGGCAGAAGACAGACTGTTAAAAGTGTTTTCATAGATCTGATTGATGTTTTAATATTTTGAAGAAAATGTCTTCATTTTTTTTCATCTAAAGTCCAGATATTTACTGTTAAGGACAAGTTTTGCTGTCTTGGTGACTTTCTAAGATACACATTGGTATTTTACAGCAGAAAAAAAGAAGTTAGTTATGAGCAAGTGCATGCAAGCAGTCCTGTCAGTCAGTGCATCTGCAGATGTTGAAACTGTCAGGCATCCAAAAAACCCTCTCATTTTGGACAAAAAATGTGTTTCTCACAGGAAAAAAAAAGTATTTTCATTGCTAAAATATTACCATCAGGATTTTTTTTAAAGAGTTGTATCCATTTCTTTGTATTCTGCTTAAAAGAAAAATTTTTCCATTGGAACAGACTTGATAGAAGAAATATCAAGAATGTGACCTAATAAGTTTACTTGGAAGGGATGCTATTATCCAAGGTATTCATGTATGAATGAGACTCAGCCCAGCAGCGAGTTTCCTTTGATCCCACAGTCAAGTCAAATGCTGTTTATTACATCCATTTTTTTTGCAATGGAAAATTCTATGATGCGGTAAATCTGTCATCGTCACTCAAAGGCTGGATCAGGAGACAGCAGGAGAGGGTCTGTGAAAGGAAACAGCTCTCACTTAAATGCTAGCCACTGAAAAAGAAAAAAGTTTATGATAGATGGCTGCTTTAAAACTGGGGTTTTTGCAAGCAAAACATCTCTTTCAGTGGGTGGAACTGCGATATCTGCCCATATAACCTTTCAGGATCACATCGTCACCCACTGGTGCCCATGCACAGCTTTGCTGTTCGCTGATGAAAGCTCTCAATGCTCTTCTGTGAGTCAGTCCTTGCCACCGAGCACACACGGAGCTTTCCTCACCTCAGACGCTCTCAGCAAAGTGTTACGGCTCCCCGTTACGTCCGTAACGCATAAGTACTTGATCACAGGATTGCCTCCCTCTTCTTCTAGTAAATCTCACCTCATTCCTTTGTTAGGCAGAGAGCCTCCCTATTCATAGGATGGATACAGCTTTTCATGCAAGAAACATAAATCCTATTCCTGCATGTAGCATGGGTAAACTGTCCATTCCCCAGCCCGTATTTCTTACCATGAGGTTAGAAATGGAATGGAGGGGTTCTATGTTCAGCACGCTACGGAACAGAAGCCTTTTTTTTTGTAGAATTTCTGAGAATTCTTTCAATTTCTGTTGGATTTTACTGTAGTTGCCTAGAACCCTACATGAAGAATATTTCCTTCTGCGCATACTACGTAACTTTTACGCAGCATCACACATCTGTTGCTCTTGTTTTGTCTTGATTTTTATTTTGCCTTGTTCAGTACCATGCACATATAGAGCTACCGTTGGTACCTTGGAATACAGTTGGGTCTGTAATTTAAGACAGAGACTCTCATTCTGTTTTTTCCTCGATAAAAGAAGAAACCCCATCCACAGTTAAGTACACTATCAAGCCTCATAGGCGAGAGGATTGTCACACTTGAAGCTGTGCACAGATGCACAAGTTTGAATAGGACAGGAAAACAGAAGCCCTGTTCCCTACTTTGCCTTTGCATCACCAGAGCCACAAAAGCTGGTCAGATGATAAATCCCCCTTCTGTGGAGTTCTGACGTGATGCCCTGGCAAGCTGTGCTAGCACAAGGGCACTGGAGACGCAGGGTGGGATATAGCAGAATGCTGTGTGTTGCACTATATCTTGTCTTCAGGCTGCTCGCAGGTCAGAGCAGACACATGTTTGGACCCATAGAAACTGGGACAGAATGCAGCGTAACACTAGGTCAAGATACAGAGCCACAGCTTTGCTGGATTCTACAGGCTAAAGTCATCAGGCCAGTACCTCTAAGCTCCTATTTTGGGGAATAGAAATTCAGTAAAACTGACAACAGAGTGAAAAATCTGAATTTAGAGCAAATGTTGTATGAAACACAAGTCTAAGTTAAGCCTATAGAAAAATAAAAGCCCAAGGAGATACTCATGGAAACAATTATTTTTATGAAACAGGTACAAGCTTTGGGTTGACACCTGTTCTGAAATATTTGGTGGTTTGGACATCTGTGCTGTTAAAGCTGTACATGGAAAGGATGGAAAAGATTATATTTTTGAGGTAAGCAATCCTACTCTTTTCAATATATGCTTTTTTATCTTACAAGCACCCAAGTAAAGAACATTCGGGGTAGTTGGCCATTGGCTTATTCGTGTTTCAGGAAAGACTGTATTTTTGAGCAACGTTTAAATCGTAATACAAAGCCACATGTCCAAGTTAGTGGTAACACTTGCTGGAAAACATAACCATATATATGGTCATGTCGTTTAGTGTTTGAGGAAATGTACACCAAGGACAAAACAAAACCAAATGTGGATGTCACATTTTCCCAGCCCTTATGATTTCTTCCTGAGCAGGCTTACCAGTTTTTCCTGGAAGGTTTATAGATAGCCCTATCCCAAGGGAACCCCAGCAAAATTATACCTTTACATGGAAAGGGAAATTAAGAATGAAGTGGAAATTACTTTGCTTTTTTATAGCGTAAATATTACCTTTAGGATCTGATGCCTCATGAATCAGAGGTTTCTGCTGTAGATAATTTTGAAAAGCTTAAGTTTCTCATTTCCCTGAAGTTTATTATAGGTAAATATAACTTTGTCGAGCCATAAAACAAGCTATCATCACTTGCCTATCACACAATTCAGGATTTCTTCAGCATCTTAGAATTTTATTCCAGAGATGGGCAAGGATATTCAGAATCTCTCCACTCCAAAAGAATTTGCTAAAGCAAAATAAGAGTATTTTTTCTAAACCATGAGAGTAATCGAGATTATGAACTGGCCCTTTCTAGTTATTTGGATCTGTTTATGACAGAAACGCGTTATAGAAGTAAAAATCTTTGTTTCGTCATAGTGCTAAACAGCTGTATGTTTAGCATACAGTTTCACAAATTTATTCCTCACTAATAATCCCCAAGTCGACCAATAGCACTTTAAAGGACTGAGCAGCTTGCAGCATTAAACCTTTAGTAAAACAAACAGAATTAATCACTACCTCCTGAGATGCTGAGGAAGATTTCAAGAAATCCTGTGTGCTTAGTCTGCCCAGTCAAATCAGAGCTTCCTGTGTCTTAGTGGATGAAAACTCACCACAGCATGAAATTTAGGATTTGATACTAAACCTCCTCTGTTGCTCTTTCATATGGTGCAGTCTTTCCCACCACTGCACCCCAGAGTTCCTGTTCAATCAGGAATGCTCAACCCAATGAAATCTGACTGAGATTGGAAAGACGGAAGAGAAAGTGTTTTCCCCTTCCTGAAAAGAGGCCACTCTGAGTTCTCATGATACGATACAGAGGACATGCCTGAACATAAGATTTGTCATGTGTGCGACTTCACAGCTTGGCTGTGGCCATGGGTGTACCTCGAACATTTCGGCTTACTGGGAAGGTATTGAGTCCTGCTCACAAGCAAGCTCCTCTCCAGCAGCTGGGCTTTGGCAGCCTCTCCTATGCCATTTAAAGCTCTGTAGGATACTCTGCAGTTCCCATAGCCCCTAAATAACTCAGAGGATGGGTCTCAGCATTTTCCACACACCATCATTTATCTACATTAGTTACATTTGAGATAGTTCATGTTGATTTGGCTGGCTTTAATCCAGTAAATTTTGACCCCACAATTTAAACGATAAAGAAATGCAGATTATCTTAAGACATAACATCTTAGTTGTCTTAGCTTATAAGATAGTAGTTAAAACCAGAAAGATTGCATGCAAGAAGATCCAAAACTAGAGTAGGATTGCATTTAACAAGTCTATTCCTGTAAGAACTAGAGGTTTCAGACATAAACCAATGCTGTTTCTCATACACTGTAGCTAAAGCTAGTCTGAGAAATGACTCGTGTGAACCCACACTGAGTCCCTCCTACCCATCTCTTTTATTCCCGACTTTCTTTTCATCCTGTGTTTTCTGTACAAATATAGCTGGGCCTTTTCTGCTTGTGATGGAAGTGAAGGGTGTCTCCTTTATTTTAACATCCTGTTAGCAAATTCCTGTCAGGCTAAATGCACTTCACTTTCATTCACCACTTTTTTTATACTGCACAATTTTTCAAACTTTTGAGCAAAGCCAGCAAGCATCATCAGCTTTCACTGGGTACACAGAGTAACTCCTGCATCAGGCCTGAGGCGGCGGGCGGGCAGGAGGAGAAGGGGGAGCAGTTTTTCAAAAATGAAATAGCCAGAGCAAATTGTCTAATGGACCAACAGAATTCCTCGCTTCCTGCTTCTGAACAAATCCCCTAATTTTCCATGCCAGATACAGTCATACTTTTAAGCAAACAGAATTCTGAGAACTGCAGGATACGTGGGGATCTGGGTTTATAGAGCATTTTAAGTAGGGTACATAATGGATGTTGCAATTAAAAGAAAGAGTGGATAGAAGCGTAATAATTCTTGCTGTTCTACAGAATCAGCTGAATTGTTTGGAAGATGGTAATGCTCATCAGCAAGAATATTTAGAACTGGATAAGACAATGAAATGTAGAATTGTTTGCAAAGTTCACAGCCAACAGAACATCTGTAAAACTTACGATCAGTTGCTACTAAAAAGCCAGCTTACATCAACAGTTATTACACCGTAATTTAAACGGTTATTGCACTGCAATTCTGTGACATAATGAAGATAAGACTGTCTGCGCCAGTATGGGAAAAATTTTCGCCTTTTGTGTACTTTCAACGTAAGAAAATAAATGTGTTATTAAAGTTAGCAGGACAGGCTGCAATCAAGAGCCAGTAGCTGAGCTAAAGCATTCCTTAAACACTGCGTTTGCACTCCAATCACACTCCCATCCTGAAAGCTATGCTCTCATGTTTTCATGGTGGCTGGTGCACCTGCTGCAGAACTGCAGGTTTCTGTATTACCAACACTTTCATTCTGCAGATATGATCTGACAACCACCCACCCTCCCAATGTACAAAGTAATGTATGCAGATGTGTTCTTCCTGATCAGTTTGAACACTCAAGCCATGTAACCACCAAGGGGAGAGCATACATATCTGCCATCTGCCTTCAGAGTGAATGTGAATTAGGGTAGAATTCTGCTAAAGTATCCTTCATACACTCAGCAGTCTAGACTGAAATTAACTTCAGAGGGATTTTCTGTGATAAGGTTGTGAGAGCAGCATTTTACAGGAGTAACTACTTAGTACATAGCCCATGTTTTGACAAAGGTGTTCAACAAGAGCTTGGGGACATGCATAATCCAAGGCAATAGTTTTAAAATACCCACCATGTTTAAGTATCACATGTAACAACTCATCTACTTATAAAAACCCATTCTAAACTGATGTTAGAAAATATAGCATGTAAACGACTTTTTACATGACTATTTCTGGAAGGTTATGAATTAATTTCGTATTGTCCTTTCCTTTTTTATCCTATACCAATAATTATATTAGTGTTGTTGCCCTTCAAATGCTTTGTGCTGGTCGTTTTGTCATTCATTGGTTTAACATTCTGCTTTCTTTTATTCCCCAAAACCATGGAGCAGCAAATTGTACCAGGGGCTGATATTAGAGAATCAGTACAACATTGTGTCTCATGAATCTAATGTTCTAGCTGTACTTCTTAAAAAAACACCACTGTAGAGTGATTCTTTATCTGTGATCTAGTATGGTACGCTTATGCTGCAGGTAAGAATGTGTTGGCTCTTAATGTTAGATCTAGTCATCATGCCCCACTTCTGACATGGTTTTTTTCCGTTTTAGTTTCTCTTCTGTTTGTATTTGATTAAAAGTGTGAGAATTTTTAAATGACCTATTCTTATTTTAAAGGCTCATGGCCATTCAAGTTATGCAAAGTGTGCTTGCTGTACAAGTAGAGTAAGGACTGCTCAGGAACAGTATGGAAGGATTAGAGAACTAAAATGAAAGAAAAAAAATAAGGGCGCTTAGTGACACTGAAGTATCGTTCTGGACACTTAATTTCTGCATACACAAACCTTGTTATGACATAAAGAAATATACAGATATTTATTGCTGTTAGCTTCTTGTAGATGTCTCCTCGGGGGATGTGCATGTTCCTTTGGCCAAGCTGTCTCAATGTAATAAAAAGCAAGAAATTGCAGTGTAAGTACAGCTTACTCACATTTCATAGCTTTGGGTGCTAGATTTGTGTCCATTTTATAGACTTGGGTCGGTTCCCCAGTGCTAGTTTGTGCATCAGTATCCAGATTTTTATAGCCACCCTAGATGTTTCTAGCAATTTGAACAAACCAAAGCCAATACTACTGTTATTTCCCAAACATCATACAAAGGATACATTTTTAGTGTACCATTCATCTTTCCATGCTGCTATAAATGCTACTCCCAGGGTAATTTTAAAGGATGTCCATTTGAGCCTTCTTGCTGTTTAGTTGAGGGATATCTTATGCATCCTGAGGAAAAAATTCCAGACCGATGCATGTGAAGACAGGAACAGCAAAATATTGAAGTCATAATATTATTAAAACATAATACAACCTCTCTTTTCTGTGAAGCTACAGTTTTCTCAGATGGGGGCTGTAAGAGGTAACTTAGACTTGTAAAAAAATCGGTTTACTAAAAGTTGTTCCCTGGCGTCTATTTCCTTCTCTAGAAGAACATTGGAGTACTGGTCTTTTACTTTTATACTCCAACAGCTATCTCCAAACCCCTACTAGGGAGCAGTCAGCTAATTAAAGAATCACTTAGCTGGAAGGAAGGGTTGTCAGGATGATCAGGAGGAAGGTCCCAGTTACAGTTCTGTGTAACAATCTTAGCTATGCATTCAGCGTCTGTTCTTTTCCTCCATTGGAATGCTCAGCTGCCAAACATCATTGTGCCAGAAAAGCTGGAGAAACCATTTTATTAACACCTCGTTGCAACAGACAAGCTTTTTAACTGTCTAACCAATTCCTGGTAATAAGACATCAAATTAAGGCCCGTTAAACTTTAACTTCTCAAACAGAAGGACTTTGAATCTTTCCCTTTTTAAATGAGTAAAAGAGAATTTTCTGCAGGTTTTGGTTTTTTTTTTAATGAGTAAAAGGGAAATTTTCTGCAGTTTTAATACTCGTAGGAACAGATTGAGCATTGCTCAAGTT